CTGATTTCCATGGCAAGTCTTCCTGATCCTTAGTTCATTTGGTAAATTAGCCAAGACAGAAAGCTGCATATTAACAAGGTGAATTGTACCATCGACAAGGTGCTTAACAAATAATAACCTTCTTTAATTGATAAATCACTGCTGGCTAGTGAGAAATCATCGTGCTTCTTGTGAAAAGCATGCAATATGGACTGACATGCTCCTGATGTAGAGACAGACCTCACCAGATGTCTCATCTGATTCTGCCACAAATATCACACCAACGCCTCCATCATTCAACTCGCTGTAAGATTCAGCCTTCAGAATTGCTGTTCTTTGTGGAAAGAGTTTATTGACTTGCTTGGTCACACAGCACTTATCCAAAAACCTAGCATCGCAACCATCCCTTATTTACACCTGTTCAAAGATAATTAAGATTCTCTTCCTCTTCTCACTAGCAATGACTTTAATGAACATTAACAATTTGATTAACGAGATCTTAATATGGCCTGAATAATGACTTTCCTAACCTTGGATGTTGCCATTTTCTTTCTGACAGGAGATGTTACTCATGTGAAACTGGTCATAGAGTCATAGAACTGTACAGCACTGAAACAGACCCTTCGGTCCAATTCATCCATACCAACCAGGTATCCTAAATTAATCTAGTCCCATTTGCCAGCATTTGGCTCATATCCCCCTGAAACCCCTTCTATTCATATATTCCTCTAAACCCTTCCTATTCATATACCCATCCAGATGCCTTTTGATTGTTGTGATAGTACCAGCCTCCACCACTTCCTCTGGCAGCTCATTCCCTATATGCACCATCCTCTGTATGAAAATGTTGCCCCTTAGGTCTCTTTTATATCTTTGCCTCTCTCACTTTAAACCTATGCCCTCTAGTTTTGGACTCCCCTACCCTGCAAAAAAGACCTTGGCTATTCACCCTATCCATGCCCGTGATTTTATAAACTTCTGTAAGGCCTCCGACCCTCCAGGGAAAATAGTCCCAGCCTATTCTGATGCCTTGACATAATTTTGTGTGGGGAGCTCCTTGGCCATTCTTTATTTGTCCAGAGTTTTTATTCAGAAGGGTTCAAGACCACAATGTAAACATTGAGCGCTGTGCTCTTTCTGTGCCTTGGATCTAAGGCCCAGTGCAGAGAGTTGAGGCCAAATACCTCTGTTGACTGTCCCAGCTGGGGATTGTCCGAGGTTCTCTCTTTCAGATGAAGTGTTAAGCCAAGTGCATGTCTGCCTTATCCAAATGTATTCGAAAGATCTCATGACACTGTTTTACAGAGAAGCGGGGGATTTATTTCCATTGTCCCAGCTAATAACTATCATCAGCCAATTTCACTAAAACAGATTATTTGGACATTATCACAAAATCCTGTGCATGGGAGCACGCTATGCACAAATTACATGCTGTGTTTCCTACCATATAAGAGTGAGAAATTGTCAAAAATACTTCACTAGCTTTGGGGTATTGAAAGTTAGGAATGCATTGTATATACTTTCACTTTTCTCTTGGCAAAATCAGGACTCTAAAGTTAGTACACTGGTTAAGATGAGCATTTTTTAAATTCATTCACAGAATGAGGGCATCACTGGCTAGGCCAACATTTATTGCCTATTCCTAGTTGCCTAGAGGAAAGTTAAGAATCCCTACATTGCTGTGGGACTGAAGTCACATGTCAGATAAGGATGACAATTTCCTTCCCTAGAGGACATTGGTGAACCAAATGGATTTTTCATGACAACTGGCTATGGATTCATGGTCATCATTAGACTCCCAATTCCAGACGTTTATTGAATTCAAATTCCGCTACCTGCCATGGTATGATTTCAACCCAGATCTCCAGAATATTACTTGGGTCTCTGGATTAAGCTTCACCTCCCCTTTCTTGTGATTAATGGCAGTTGAACTAAGTTTACCCAGTTAGATACGATGCAACGTTGAAAATATCTGACACTGCTCTGTTGGCAAGGATCAGATTGCAAATCGAAGATTATTAAGGGATCCAATTTTTTTCTGAAAATCTTAAAATTTGTACAAGGCCATGTAGGAATGAAATCAGGAAGCAATTATTCAAATAAAGGATAGCGAACCTTTTGTAATTATGTTTAAATTTTCAAGATTAACTTGAATAGATTCTTGAGAGGGATGGCATTAGGGTTATGGAGAGATGGCACATTAGTGAAGTTAAGAGATGAATGGTTTCTTCGTGTTCCTAGCCAGTTAGCATTCTGTCCAGTACAATGGAATACTAATACATCACCTTAACTATTTGGCCACTGAAAGTCTTAATTTTCTTTGATTTTTCATTCCCAATGTAAACTTGAACCAAATCAGCTGGCAATTTCCCCAGTTTCTTCAAAATATTTTTAGGCCAGCGCACAGACTGTGTCTGTCATCACTTCTCACCCATTCCCCATTGTTTCGATTTTATTTAAATATTTGCTCATTTTAGTTTCAGTCTGAGGAAAGACTGGAATTCAAAACTTTGGAGCCAAGATCAGATTCTCGCCCAAAGTCTGAAAGCTATTCAGGCATCAATCATTTTCTAAATAAAAAACGAAAGAACTGCGGATGCTGTAAATCAAGAAACAAAAC